AGTAAAGCTCTACTTCTTCTCTTTCAAACACTTGTCCAAGTGTCAGTTGTACAATGACCTCAACGATGTTAGTACGAATCCACAGATCCTCCACCAGTTCATGTTCGTTTAGCTGGAGGAAGGTCAGGCAATTCTGGTCGACTTGAAGTCAGATACCATGGTCAGTGGGGTACTRTWTGTAACYTTGGATKGGACATGAAAGACGCTGARGTGGTGTGTCGTATGCTTGGTTACCCTGGAGTACAGGAATACATAACCACCAACTTTACGCCCGTCAAGGGTATAGTATGGCTGATGAACGTCGGTTGTACAGGAAGAGAAACGTCGRTTACAGACTGTAGTCACAATGGATGGGGTAATGCAGCCTGTTACCATAGTAACGACGTTGGTATGAAATTTCTGTTTGTTTATAGATGTTGTTCAAGACTTTACACCCGTCAAGACACATGTGTCTTTATATAAAATCACTTGAATACTAATGAAGAGGACTTTATCGGGTATAAAGGTTCATGCACGTGACGTGTATGGTGGCTCCAATTGGACCATAAGMTTATGAATTATTAATGAGTGTTTTTAAAATCATTTAGTGCAAGATTCAAAAAAAGACTAGAATTAATTATTCTTTTGTTCATCAGCTTATTTTTACATAAGTGAGGTTGGGATAATTCCGAGCAAATGAGTGATGTGTGATATATTTTACAACCACCACTCCCCATACGGGACTTTTCCGTGAGGTCTCTCCTCACGCACTACCACTACATTCTATATTTACAACTTACAACACTCAACTTATACGTTGTTTTTACGTAGGGAGGAAACCGGAGATCCCGCAGAAGAACCCTCATGGCAAGGTAGAGAACAAAACATCAAACAATCTCAACTCACATGTGGTCAAGTCTGAGCCCCAGGGCTCGAACCCGGAACCAAGTGGTGAGAAGCGAGCAGTAAACCTCTACACCACACATGCCACCCAATATGAGGAATGAGAGGGAATAAAAAAATAACACTTTTAACATGTAATAGCTTTTTTATTACACATTTCGAGTCTATTCAATAAAAAACACAAAGAYTCCAATTTACCATAAAGGTATACCGTATCACTTTACTGGTCACAATATTATTAACGGTTTCATCAAACATAGAAATATATTGACCATCATTACAAATATAGCCCATG